AGGGGACGACAACCAAAGCGATCTCCCCCCCTGGGGACTTCCTCCGGATTCAGGGTTCCTAGTTTATCCTCCTCCGAAGACAGCCCTAGGGAGGGACAGCCAAGGCAATCTCCAACCCACCTTCCAGGGGCCTATCCATCTTCCGAAGGAAGTCCTAGGGAAGAACAGCTGAGGCAATCCTCCCCCCTTACGCGTTCTCCTATTCTCCCACCAGCTAGCATTGCTAGACAAAAAGACCCCGTGCACGCGGGGTTTCCAAAACCTCCCCAGAGGACCACAAGCGAGACGATGATGTTCGAGGCTTTCTCGGAATCTAGGTTGAGATTCCCTCAAGGAAAGGACTGGAGCGATATCGAGATGGAGTAGGAAGAGCTTTAGGTTTCCAGTAATGTCTCCCATCGGTTTCTCGGCCCACTTTCTTCAAGCTACTCTCTCGATCACTCCACACCAACTTTCAATCACAAGTGTCACAGCAAGCAGGTGATTTCTTCCTTTTGCAAGCAAGATAGCTAACCTTCAGTCTGCTAGTTCGGACAATCATCATAACAACGTATCCGGCTCGCAATCGAAGCCATTTGCACCAACAAAGTCTCCAGCGAAAAGAGAAAGCGGTTAGACGGTCCGATATATCGCGGTCTACCTTGCGTTGAATGAAGGCCTTGTGCAAAAAGACTATACGAGGATGAAAAGGCTACAAGAAAACGCAATGGCGAAGCACGTGCCCTTGCTGTTGAAGCAAAATTAGAGCAAAACCAAGGGAGACCGAGGAAGCTGAGATCCAGTGAGCCAAGGAGAGGAGGAAGGCGTTGTGTGACGAATCCTCAGCCCAACAGACGTTCTGAAAGGGCCCTTGAAGGTATTGCAACGATGGGTGACTGATTTGGTGAAGCCAAAAGGTTCACAAGTGCACAAGCAATTGTCTCAACAGTAGCTATGAACTGCTTGTATGATTGCTTACTGAGGAAGCTACTATGATGCCCGTAGGCCGTAGAGATTATGAGTTATATACAGCTTCCTTCCTCCTATTTTCTCTGGAGCGATGGGAGCGTCCATCGCTCTTGTCGCCGATGGTGATGCTCATCGCTCCTCCCCAGGAGCGATGCCAAGCCTTTGCGCTCCCTTTCTGATTGGCTACTTCCGCTGTTTCTAACGATTGGCTGGGGTGGCTCCTGCATGTCGAATCCGGGCCACTGCATGTGGTCAAATTGTGACACGTTCTGAGAACAGCGCGTTTGCGAGGCTTATGTGGAAAGAAATACCTGTCAACAACTTTTTTAAACTATCACTAACTGCTTCAAAAAAAGGTGTTTCCCACTATTTCTCGCCGTCGGGGGTGTTGTGAGGATAGCTGCTGTGACTGCCAGTATAAGGAAAAACGAGTTGTGACGGAAAGTGACCGAGGCCGAAGACCAGGGGAGAACCCCTGGATTGAAAACCGACTCGGATTGGTCAACCAGGACACGCGTGCCCCTTTTCTTGCATGAGAGACGCGCACCCTGTATCTTTCCTCCTTTCTTTCTCAGCTTTTGATTAGCAGAATTGAGTCAGTATTCGCAGTGCCCTCGTGCCTCGCCTAGATGCTACTCGTCTCTCACACGAGTGGTTTGATGAGTAATAGGCTTGGCTGAGCCAGGTGGGCCAGAAACCCGGGAAGCCATTAACTGCTTAGTAACTAGAACAAAATACTAAATCTCTATATTCTCATCCGTAAGCCCCTGAGGAGTCGTCGTAGGCTTCGCGACTGCAAAGGCAGCTAGTGTCAGTATCGCGGATATAGGCAGTTGTGAATTGCAGTGGGGTCGAAACATTCGGTCACCACCCCGCGGGCGGAGTGCAAATATCTTCTACGCGTATTGGCATGTAGCACAGCTCTCGACTTAGTGCCGCCATAACATAGTGGAGATCGAAAATTATGCGATAAGGAGGTCCAAGAAAAGCAAATTCTCGATTGCTTGGTCGGTTCTCGGATCACTCCCCTACCTGACTCCTCAAGGGACTCCATCATGACATTCTTCGGCGTGGACTCGTACCACGTCAACATTGGAAATGGCAACTGCTCCTAAATCTGCAAAAATGACACCGTTCGCGAGCTCTGGAGAAACTCTATCTAACTGCACCGCTTGCACGCCCATGCAACACGTTGCGTGGCCGCAGCGGGTGTAGAAAGTAGAGCGGCTCAGGGTGCTGCAGACCACCACCACCGGGTAAAAAATTTCGCTGGCGCACG